TCATAAAGTATTTTTCTGAGGTCTGTCTTATCAAGTAAATTACTGTACACAGTGTATTCATTAATTTTCATTTTCATGTAGTAAAGGTTCTATGCCTTCATAAAGTATGTACTTTTCCTTTGTTTGGGTATTTGAGCAGTTTATTCTCTGTTGTATTCTCAAGCAAACAATACATACAAGTACAGTACAATATTTTCTGAGGAAACACGCATACTTATCCTTTTTTAACCCCATTCCCGATAACCTGGCATTTTCACAAACTCGGCCACCCTTCGGTCCACATTAGGCCAAGTTTTTGAGGCTCTACTGTACATGGTTCACAAAAATTATTGCAAAAATGCAAAAAATCCTTTGCTCGTGTGTATAGGATGACCTAGGTTTTTGAAGCAGTGAAAAATGAATAAAAACTTTGTCTTATATGCGAGTAAATATGGTATATACAAAAAGAAATTAAAACTAAACCAAGCAAATAAAATCAATTTCCAGCACAAATTTATAAGAAAGTAGTTAGAGATTTACAAAGCTGCAAGAAAAAATGCTGCTATAAACTTTCAAGATGTAGATTCCTTACTCCCTGTGTGCAAGTTGTTCTATATTCTTTAATCTTACAATCCTCTCCCTCTCCTTTCTTCCCTATGTCACTCCTCTTAACATGTGGACAACTATCTTGTTTTAATAGCTGTGAAGGTCAGTTAGCTTGAAGATGCTGTCAAAAATGTCTGCTTTGTTATAAATTTGTGCTGGAAATAATTTCATTCACTTGGTTTATTAAGTATATCCAGTTTTGAGTAGTTGATTAGAAAATACAAGAAATAGTGAGCATGAAGGTTTAAATAAAGAATTTTAAAAACAGATATCAATTTTTAAATACTTTAAAATCTTTTATGAAATATTATGAAAGCATTTAATTACAGTAGAGTCTTAATTATCTAGTAAAGTAGACTGAGAGTACCACAGATGATTAACAACTTGGATAATAGATGTTTAGTAAATTATTACACTGAATTTGCACAGATACAATACACTAATTTTATATTAAACCCACTTACTGAACATAATTTCTAAATTATACAATAAAAATTTTTAAAATGTGTTGTTGTGTGAAGTCACAACAGTAAGTTCTTTTTAAAATTTTTGATATTTTCTTATAGTATCATATGTCACTTGGCCAAGTATTTGTGAAATGAACTGTTCTGTACTATGTTCCTTTATCTTTGTTGACAAAGTATACTCATCCACAATTTACCTTGGATAACATGAAACTTCTGATAAACAGATCAGTTGGAATAATTATATCTGAAAATCATTAACATATGAATACAAGTAATAACAACAATTTTATTTACTGTTTTTTAAACCATTTAATAACATTTGAAATGATTTAAAATAATCAGCTGGTTTAGAAATCTCAATTTTTGAAACTGAGCAATTACAATTCATTTTGTGCATTTTTTTACATTTTATTTCATTATCATTAATATTCACTTGAAAATCTTCATTTCTATCTTTTGAATTTTTTGCAATGTAATTAAAAGATGATAAATATACATCATCATTTCTTTGTTTCATAAATGTATACTGTGCCATAAAATGTTGTAAACAGGCATCACTGTATCTTTTTTGTTGATTGTATTCTAAAATAATATTTATATATGGTTCCTGAAATGTAAATTATGTTGAATATATTAATATACATACATACATATTGACAATAGGATGTTTCAAATAATTCTGTCCTGTCTTCATGCTTCTAAAAGATACACTAATTTTTATCTAACTTGTTTCATTTAATTAATACTTGAATGAAGTTTAGAACTCATAGAACCAAATTAATTAATTATACAGATACTAAGTAATATAGATAGTTATATGCCACCAAATCTTGTATTAAATGTAATAATTACAAATAAATAAATTTAATTTAGACTATTCTAAAAGGAAAGCTCAGTCTGAAATGGGACTTGAAGCTGCCACTTTTGTCTACTATGCAGACAGTAATTATGCCACCTGGACCCAGACTAATTAATTTATGAGATATTACCATATAGGTCATTCATAAATTAGTCTGGAAGTGAAGATCAGACAGAGGTCTGGATAGTGTAAATGGCAACACATCTTCATAGTAAGCAGAAGTTGAAAGTTCAAGTCCTACAATAGATCAACCTTTTCTTCTGTGATGGATGAACTTTGTGAGTTAGACAATGATTGGGAGTGAAGTGCAAATGTAAAAAGAAACATCATCGCATCCATTTGACCATATTCCAAAATTCTCAATGAAAGGAAAAGAGTAGTCTAAATTAACTAGTTTATTTCTAATCATTAAATTTAATACAAGATAGCTTCATAACTGCCTACCTTTAGTATAAATTATGTAATATCTATATAATTACCATATTTTATGACATACAGGTAGCCATCAGTTTACACCGGCTCAATTTATGCCGATTCACAATAATGCCGCTACGCAATTTGCCGTTTCGGGGTGTAATTCCCTGATTTTCCCTATGCCAGACTGATTTTCATTTCAGTGTTGATGTATTCACCAAGCCACGACATTGTACATTCGTTAAAATAAAGATTTTTTTGAATATATTTAGTTTTTCTGTTTAATATTATTGGGTATGTATACATTTGCATTAAATTAATATTAAAACACTAAATGTTTAGGTATCCACGAGTCAAGTTATCTTAAGTTATCTCAAGTTAACTTAATAGTCCAATAAATGGCATCCAAATCCATAGCGCCAATGAATGTATCCCTTATCAGTTCGTTTAGGAAAACACCTTACAACGCAGTAGCACTTCCGGCAATCACAAACTATCATTAGTGAGACAAATCTACTTCTCGTTGGCCAGACAATACTTTTTTATTAGCCAGACGATATCTCTCCCTCCTTAGCCACCTTTAATTTTCCCGCTCAAACTGACCTTATACATGTGCTACGGCGACCGGTGGTCAACCAATCAGTGTCTCCGCTCATCCGTACCTCTATGTTGGGTTAACGCATCCTTTCAACTATGGAAAGTTAGACGGATGAACTTTGTGAGTTAGACAATGATTGGGAGTGAAGTGCAAATGTAAAAAGAAACATCATCGCATCCATTCGACCATATTCCAAAATTCTCAATGAAAGAAAACAAAAATGTAAACAATTAAAGATGGATACTTTTTTCCGAAAAATGTAAGAGATCCAAAACTAAAATTTTTTAATAAAAACATTTCACTTTATTTTATGATAAAATACATTTTAAAAATTAAGTTTATATGTATTTTGTATTATATTATATTAATAAACAAAATTATTTGCTTATTTTTCACTTATGTAGAACCTAACCCTATACCTCACTGTAAATATGGGTTCATTTTACGTCGATTTGATTTGCGCTGTCTTTTGTAGGAATGGAACTGTGGCGTAAATTGAGGGCTATCTGTACTTTCAATTTTTGGACTTGGGACCTTGAAACATTGAGAAATTCAAAAAAAATTTGGAGATTTTTCAGTATGTATGGATGTTAGTGTATGTTTGGGCACAATTTTGTTTATCATCTTTGAAGCCTAAAAACTCCTGTGTTTTTGTTAAAAAATTCCTGAAATTTTGTAAGCAGGTTTGTGTATTAAGAGTATTGATGCTATTAAATTTTGGTGGTTAAAGGTTGAAGGGGTGGAAAGATAAAGGTGGGTTGTGTGCCATATCTTCAGTAAGGTTGGACGTAATGAAGAGTGTACTCATTATTATCATTTACAATTTTTTATAAAACTCATCCCCCCCCAAAATGAAGCTTTTTGCCATTGTATAATAATTAAAAATATAAAAAGTTTTAATAATAAAACATCATAACAGATGGCATCACACACAATTTTAAATGTTGCTGGATTTTATATATATAAATGCAAAAAAATAAACATGAAATTTTAACTCTCTGTAAATTATTTCAACTAACACAGATTGCTGTTGGGTTTGTGTTAAATTTATTACACAAGGACAGTATTATCTTACAAGGTCAGGGTAGTAAAGCTTTGTTCATTCTCTCCTGGGAAAGTAATAGACCTGGTCAACCAAAGTAAAGTATACATACATACAAGAAAGACTTTGGCTGTACGTGAGGTGTTTAGCCGGCGGAAAAGAGAGTAAGGGAAAGGTGAGGGGAAGAAGGAGGGGGAGGAGATAGATAGTAGAGAAAGGTAGGATCTCTCTGAACAGCATATGTGTGGCTACTGTACCCTATACATTTGATGTTGGCATGCAGTTTTTAGGCTATAAGGCCATAGTCCCCCAACAGGTCTAAAAGAAAACCTGAATGTAGTGAACACCAATGATTCAGTGCTGCCACGAATAGCTAAGTATAGAAGTTAGTGCTAAGTGGCTGTTAGTAGGGAAACTTATAACTACTTAATACTAATGAAACTGAACGTGAGTGCGAATCTTAAAACTACTTAACAGCTAGACAGACAGCACAAAAAAACAAATGAACACAAAGATAAACTAGATGAGACAAACAGATAGACAAAAGACAAACATGCATGACACCATATATTTTTTATTTTTTTAAACATTAACTTACTCACTAACTAAACTAACCTACCATAACCTAGGACGAACCTAACCAGAAATCAAGCTAAGAGTCCCTAATCTAACTTACAACTAGGACTAATGTAAACTAACTGAATTTAGATGATAAGAAGATGGAAAATAAGAATCAGGACAGAGTAAAGTTTAGAGTATTCGCACTTGTTGCTGCAAATGATGATGTGCTGATAAGCAGTAGCTGGTCCACCATGTTTAAATGAAGTAATTAGATTCAACATTCCAAAGGACACTTACAAACAAGTCTTTTTCACTCTGTTTTCTTGGTGTCATAATTTAATTGTATTAAATGTGTTTAAAATCAATATTACTGATATTTTTGAACAGTTAATGTTTTACTTATATATATATATATAAAAATGGACATGTATTTCACTTTTNAAAAAAAAAAACTTATTTGATTTATCACTAGCTGTCTACTCACAGCTTCACTCACATTATATAGAATTTTCTCGTGGGAGTAAGATATTTTCTCACAGTAAAATTAGCCTATGTCCATCTCCAACATGTAAGCTATCTCTATGCCAAATTTTATTAAAACCTGTTCAGTGGTTTAGACATGAAAAGGTAACAGACAGACAGAATTACCTTCGAATTTATAATATTAGTATGGATTAATATGAATTTCTGCTATAAGGGGTATGCGAGTTGAACTCTTTCTTGAAGTGGTACACAGGAAAACTAATTGGGAACCACTGCTGTAGAGTTAAAAAATGAAGAAAATAAATCAAAATGATAATGTTATCTTTAATTTTGATTTTTAAGCACAGAATCCATTCTAACTCAACACTGGAGCGAAATCTAAACTCTCAAGAACCTGTAACCCCAGTATCTATTCTATCCCGATTAGGGACAACAGGTGGTATAAGGACTTGTTGTACATTGGTTTGACCAAGCGTTCATTTGATACCCATATAAGAGAACACCAGGCACATATCCGGCATAGGCGGCTCACTGCCGCCCTAGCTACATACGCACCCGACCCGAAGTCAAGTTGTGATTTGAAAAAGCTGTAGTCATCGTCAACATACCCCACCAGGAACATCTCAGGTGACTGGAAGTCATCGCCATCTACAATGCCGGCCAGGTGGCCATGTGCATTAACCAGAAGGAGGAGCTGACTCTATCTCTGGCCTGGCAATCCCTGTTAGATGCCAACCCACAGCTACCTCCACCAATGCATGACCGCACATGTCAGGGAAGACCTACTTTGCTGGAATGACACCTGATCCCTCAGAATAACATACACTTATTCGTCCAGTGAAATTCCTTAACCAGTTGACCTGAAGAAGAACAGCATGAATGTTTGAAAACGTTTGTCAACCACAACACATTAAGCACCGGTTACAGGTTCTTGGGAGTTTAAATTATGAGTTTGTTAGCAAAATGGCAAATGTTTGTCTAACTGAGACAAATATGCATGGAAGATACATGGCTACTATTTTAATCATTCTGTAATTTCTTGAATATAACCTGCATCACCTTAAATGCTACATTTCTGAAGTTACTATTGAAAATGTCACTTAACCTATATGTGGTTTGAAAGGTATTATCTCAGGCATTCTAATTTTCCCATTAATTTTCCTTAAATACAATAAGCTTCTGATTTTCAATTGGCAGTACATAAAATTTAATGGTGATATTAAAACAGAAGGATGTGCTACTGTTTTATCTTTATACAACTTTCTGGTCTGAGGTAGATTGACAGATGGTCAGAATTATCAGATCTCTCTCTCAATTTTTCCATTCCAGTATTATTGAAAAGTAGAAATTTATAACAAAACTGTACTAACATGGGTTTAAATAGCAGGGACAAGGACTTCCTTTTTTCCTGTCTTGCATTAACTGATGCTATCATAGTCTATTTCCCTTTGCTTGTTTATTCCATTCCATTTTTCTTCCTAACTAACGCTGCCATTTTACTTACATCTGTCCATGCCTGGCAATAGTCCATTGACTTTTTTTTTTTTTAACTTCTCCCACTGTTAAGGTGCATTGACATATCAGTGACCAATAATATAGACTCATCATCACTGATTTACATAATGTTTTTACAAAATACAATCAGATTTTGTATAAAACTATTGAACAAATATGTGATTGTCTTTCTTCTCACTAAATTCTAGAGATATATTTAATTTTTCAAGTGTAAATAAAGATTTATTTCTTTTGAATATCATTTGTTGGAGGGATCTCAGCCAACTGTTCCAAGACTATAGCAAGGAAGATCAATTCTTTTTAAAACATTTTAAACAATGTTGAGTTTGGGAGCATAAATTTTCATGTTATATTGTCCATGCAAATGGGCATAAATGTCACTTTAGGATCTTTCTTGGTAAGTTGGCCTCCAAGATGGAGTTTGATTTATATTAATTTATGCAGTTTTATAGGGAAATATCAAGTGGCCACAAAGTGAGATTTTACTTTATATTATAAATTTCATCCGAGATAGGTTTGTGAATATTAACTATTTTTAACTTTAGTATTACTCTTCATAATCTTAACATTTAAAATAAAATTTGAAACATATTAATAAATTGATTTATTTAAAAATATTTTTAGGATTTGGAAAGATCTTTTCTCTCAGTAGAAAATGATGATTGTATTTCACTTCAGAAATTGATTATTGCTCTTCTTCAAGGATACTATGACACAAATATTAAGTAAGTATTCTGAAATTATCTTTTCCTATTAAATGATATACATACAAACTGGATGAGAACTACAGAAAAAACACGCGCACTGGCCTTGCCACAATCTTAGGCCTTCAAAATGCGGTAGTTAGCTCCCCTGACACCCCCCGCCTTTTCGCTTTTGCCAAAACACACAAACCCGGGCATAAATTAAGACCTGTGATCGATAAAGCCAGATCTCCCACTTTCATATTGGAGAAACGTATACATCACTTATTGCAAAATCATCTTAACTCATACGGCTTGACTGTGTCCGATTCCAACGCACTACTCGCCAAACTCCACAAGTTAAAGTTAAATGGGAACGAATATCTTACTGTATTCGATTTTGTATCGATGTTCCCTTCCATTCGATTGGAACCATGTTTTTGTGAGCTAAGGGATTTCTTTCTCACTACAACAACTGACAGCCAGAGATTCCATTCACAAATACTAGAGCTTACACATCTAATCTGCTATTCCTCCTTTTTTTACTTTGATGGTCAAACGTACATCCAAAAAAGAGGCGTACCAATGGGTAGCCCAGTCTCTGGGGATCTATGCGAACTCGTCGTACGAAAATTAGAAGAAAAGGTCTTACTAAGCTTTCAATCCAATATCCTTAGCTACGTGCGGTATGTGGATGATATTTTGATTATTTGGAAAACCAAACCTGATATAGAGAAAGTGTTAGAAGCCTTTAACAAAAACGCCTACGGCTTAACTCTAAAGTTAGACCAAGAAAGTCGCACAGAAGTTAACTACTTAGATGTCCAGATTAACACAGCGAATAAAAATATAACCACGACCATTTACCGCAAACCAACATACTGTCCTCTCTTTATACC